CCTTGAGGTCAGGGTTATAGGAGCAATCGCGAAATGGAAAGCCACACACACACACACACACACACACACACACTCNTCACCCCTCTCCAAGCCCAAAGAGACAGAAGGAGTTAGTATTTACCCAAATCAAAAAGCTAGGCAGTCTGCAAGGATGCCAGCCTTATAAGGCAAAGTGACCTTTATTAGGCTGAGGCAAACTCACAGACAGGGAGCCCACAGGTGACTATGCTGACTTAATACTCCCCTCTCCTGCCTGTTGACTGTAAACAAACAACGCACAACCTTTATTCAAGATGCCCCAGGTGGCACTAGTGGTAAATAACCCACCTGCCAATGCAGGAGACATAAGAGACACAGGTACCATCTCTGGGTCAGAAGATGAAATGACAACCCACTCCAGTATCTGTGCCTGGGAAATCCCATGCACAGAGGAAGCTAATGGCGTACAGTCCGTAGCATCACGAAGAGTCAGACACGACTGAAGTGACTTAGCATGCGTGCTTTATTCAAGAGCCTGGGAGACAGCCTCTCAGATAGTTCTAAGGAACTGTTCCAAAGAGGTAAGGGACGAACCAGGATACATACAAGTTTTTGCTGAAAAAAATGTAGTCAAACATCAAAAGACTACCACTAATCACAAAAAACAGATATCTCAATTAATGATTTTAGTGCTTTTCTATACATAGGAAGATGCAAGAGTCTAAGTTTATAAAAATTCCTTTTATATGTATCTTAACTATGTAGGACCTGTTTTTCACCATCCTGAACTCCTCTCAGGGTCACCATCGGGGGCAGCTGCAGGGGCTGATGGTTTGATGGTGGTCAACAATCACTGTTTATTGAAATGGCAAGCAATGTTCTTTATTCATATGCTCATTTCCTGTTGGGCTCCTTACTGACTGAACCCAGCTAGAAGCCACCAGGCACGGTACTCTGTTGACTCAATGCATATAGGCAGAGAGAACAGGGTAAAAATGAGCGGAGAGTGGGTATACAAGGGGAATAGTAGAAGGCACTCTATGCTTTTCTTAATGCATAAAAACAAAAAGCAATACAGAACTCCAGGGAAGTGAGCATGCAAAAGAAAGTCATTGTGCAAAAAGGAAACCCACTAAAATGTGGCCAAATGTGCTGAGTATACTGGAAAGAGAATTTAACACTTCTTGAAGAAAAGAAGTTGTGGTTCTGGTACCAGAGAGAAAGCAATCTAATCATAGTATTACTGCAGTAAAACCTACTTTCAGCTTTTGTCTTTCAAAAATCAACCTATACATAAAGCAGATGACGATTTAAATTTCAGAATGTATGCGCTGCTGCTCAGTCACTAAGTTGTGGCCAACTCTTCATGGCCCCATGGACTGTAGCCCGCCAGGCTCCTCTGTCCATGGAAATTCTCCAGGCGAGAACACTGGAGTGGGTTGCCATGTCCTTCTCCAGGGGACCTTCCCGACCAAGGGATCGAACCACACTGCAGGCAGATCATTTACCGTCTGAGCCACGAGGCCAGCCCAACATCCGATGCTAAGACCCATCAATGCAACCCCGTCCCCGCTGAGATAAAATTGCAAGTTTCCCAGCCTCACGACAGAAGGAAAAAAAAAAACAGAGAGCAAATCTGTAAGTAAGACATGAAACCGCAACAACCCAGCTGGGAAGAACAGGTTTTTGCTAAACCTGGAGTCCCCATCGTGGAAGGCTTCTCCGACCAGGGTCTCAGGGAATGAAACCGGTTCCGTGGGCTGGGGCCCGTCCTGGAGAACACAGCCCCACGGCCCCTGGGCTCGACACTGCAGAGATCTGGTAGCCCGTTTGCACACACAGGCCCGCTTGCACGTGGGTTTCACAACCAAAAATCCCACATCCGGTCTGGTGCTGTTCGGAGGAAACTCGTCCACTTTGCTTTCTAGGCGATATTCCTCACTGGGTCTGCTCGCTGCGGAACTGGCCATGAAGGACTTTGAGAAGGGGGTCTTGTCTCTACTCAGAAAACATCGAGGACACCCAGGCTACGTCCAGCTCGATACATGTTCTGTCTCATGGCCGCTGGGAAGAGACCAGGACGGTCCCGGGGAGACCAGGACGCACCCAGAGCCCCCGCCTGCCCCAGCATGCCCTGCTGACTGCGGACAGACAGAAAGCAGAGACCAGACCTGGGCTGGAAGAACTGACCGCCACGGGGGCTCCTAGCTCGCTTCTGAGCTGGGATTTCTGGGAGACACAGGAGGCCAGGAGCCGCCGTCCACCCTGGGCGCCCTGAGCTGTCATCCGCCTCCACCCCTAGACTTTCTTCCTGCCCAGAGAGAGGCCAGGCCGGCTCCTCTCTCAGCACCCCGCCCCCTCACACAGCTCAGGCTCCGTTCAGTTACGGGGGGGCCCGTCCAAGAGGGGCGCACCCTGCTCACCCCATTTAAGCCAGACGCAAGGACGAGATGACGCCTCATCCGGCAGGCGTCCCAGCCTCCGAGCAGGCAGCTCTATTTTAAAACGTTTCTGCCAGACCAGACCTCACGTGTGGAGGGAGAGTCAACGTTTAACTACAATGGATAGATGGTAAACCTTCCAAAAAAAACCCTAATTGCACATTTCACCTCCAAGCTTTGCCTTCGATTCTAGGATGCATGAGGTTCATTTGAAAGCGTCAGTCGCTCAGGCATGTCCCACTCTCTGTCACCCGTGGACTGTAGCCCGCCAGGCTCCTCTGTCCATGGGATTCTCCAGGCAAGAATCCTGGAGTGGGTTGCCATGCCCTCCTCCAGGGGACCTTCTCAACTCGGGGACTGAAGCTGGGTCTCCTGCATTGCAGGCAGATTCTTTATGTCTAAGCCACTGCATTTTGTAAACAATGTAACTCAAAGTTTCAACTTACATGGGCTGTCTTGGTGGCTCAATTGGTAAAGAAATCACCTGCCTGCAGGAGACCCAGGTTCAATCCCCGGGTCAGGACTGATCTCCTGGAGAAGGAAACGGCAACCCACTCCAGTATTCTTGCTGGAAAAATCCCATGGAGAGGACTTTTTTTTTTTTTAATTCACAACCTTTCAGACAGAGAGCTGCACATACAAGGCAAATTCCATAATGCCATGAATGCTGGGAGCAAAGCTTGCAAGTGATTTTAAAAATACACAATTTTTTTTTACCCCGTCTCTCTCTTCATCATCTCAGAGCTTTGTTGAAATTTCAAAATTAGAAGAAGAAAAAAAACTATGTTGAAGGGGCCTTTTGATTAAAAGAGTTTCAGATGTTGTAAATGCATCTACATTTCAGGTCAGTGCAAAGGTAGAATGTATTCCCTTACACGGAAGGGGAAAAAAAATAATTTTTTTTTTCCTTACAGAAATGTACCCAAATGAAGGGGTAAGGGAAAACAGCCGGCAAGACTAAAAAGCTGTTAAGCTGTTTTAGAATCAGAGTGGGCCAGCTGGGCTTTGGGGAACTAGGTAGCAAGTTCTGTCTGGGCACGCCTGGGTTGACTAAGGCAAACAAACAGACCAAAAAAAAAAAATGCACATTTTCGAGGTAGACAAGCCCAGCAACCATGCATGGCCACCACCACGCTCCCCTCAACCCAATCTCACACAGCACTTGCAAAGCCCATCACCTCTAACTCAACCTGGGAACCTCAACACTTTGGGTTTGGATACATCACGCGACTATGCCCCACGCCCCTGACCCGCTAAGACAGATAGCTGTCTGATGTTCACACAACGGGTAGAGAGGGGAAATCCATGGACAGGAGGGAAAAAAAGAAAGGCTAGACCTGGCTACCCCTAGAAAAGTGAGAGTGAAAGTCACACTGTCATCTTGGACTCTGTGTGACCCCATGGACTGTATGTAGACCGCCAGGCTCCTCTCCGTCCATGGGATTCTCCAGGCAAGAATACTGGAGTGGGCTGCCACGCCCTTCTCCAGGGGATCACCCCCACCCAGGGACCGAACCCGGATCTCCTGCACTGGTAGGCAGGTTCTTTACCAACTGAGCCACCAAGGAAGCCCCTTTTAAGAAAAAAAAAAAATCTCTTAAAACTGCCTGCCTGGAGGCGGCTTCCCAGAAAACAGCTCGGCCCCTCCCCCGCCCTCACTTCCTGGCGCCCCC